CTGCTCTAGGGAGCTGGGGGACAGCCCCTGCTAGGCTTTTGCCCTTTCCCCACTCAGGTGGAGACTGGGGACAGGGTGTGGCCATGCCCTGGCCCCAGGCTGGCATTCTGTGGGAGTGGGGGAAAGGGGGTTTAAACTCCTTACCCTGCCTGCATGGGACCCCAGCCAGGTTTGCCTGAGCAAGGGAGAAGGGGGGAAACCCTGGTATGGGGCTGCTCTTTCCCCTACTCAAGAGGGGAGTGGGGGGCAGAAGCCTGGCAGGGGTGTCCCACTGGGGGAGGGGTTTTAAATTCCCTCTCCCCCTGGCATCAGCATGCTGGGGCTTGGCTATGCCCCTTCTGCTTGAGCAGGGAGGGGGAAAAGCATTGGAGCTTCCTACCTTCCTTTTGACAGTGCCTGGCAGGCTGGGAGGTATGCTCTATCGCCTTCCATGTTCTAGCCTGAGCCACTGCAGGCATGTGGCTGCATTTCCAGAATCAAAAGTGAATGTCTGTTCACTTGTTTCTCAGTTCAAGCTTCGCAGTTTAGACTAACTTGGAAAGACTGAAGCAATTCAGCCTCTGGCTTGTTGACTGTCTGTACTTAGCCCAGAAGGTGAGTCCCTCTTCAAACTATTTAATTTTCAAAGCAAAAAACATGTTTTTCTTTTAAGACAGGGAAAGCAGAATTTCCCTGAGGCTCTTTTAGCAAGAGAAACAGAGGAGAAAATGTGCTAAAATAATAAAGATATGCTCAGAAAAGCGAGATGTCAAAGCTGATGAATGAAGACAATCTTGCAAATGCTATAGGCAGTATTCCCAAAAAGTGCTTTGGACACCTCCAAAAAAGGTTTCATCTCTGAACCAAGAGTTCTAGAGTTTTGCATTTCTTTTTGTCTCGGACCAACACGGCTACAAAACACATCCCTTGGACACCTCCAACCTTTTCTGATTCTTCCGGTTCCTCTTCCTCAGCTGGGCATCTTCTGTTCAGGCTGCTATGGCCTCTTCCCTGGCAGGCTGCTCACCTAAGTATGGAAAGTTTATTTTTTTCCCTTGCCAGCTGTTATTTGAATTATTGTATTATTATTTGAATCATAGTAATGCCTTTGTGGCTCCATTGAACTAGAAGATAGTAAGAGGCAGTTTCTGCCTTAAAGAACATGCAGTCTAAACACACGTATGTTGGGAAGGGAAAGTAATAGGGGATGAAGAACTGGGAATGAAATCCTGGCCTTCTGGCTTTCAGTCCTATACTCTATCCACTAGGTCATGATGCCTTTGTAGTTATGTTTAGAGATAGGCAGCCGTTGCTGCTGTGCATGACAGACATACTTACTGGTGATCGTTATGTATTACAGGTCAGAACCTCAGCTCATCGCAAGTCAGCAGAGCTGCACTGATTATGCCAGCTGAGGGTTTAGCTCCATATTTTTAAAGACTTAGATTCTTGCAGTGTACAGGAAAAAGCTTAAGCCCTGACAACTGTTAGATCCAAATTAAGGAGCTGGTTCTTCTTGTTACCATTTTTATTGTTTACAGTTTAAAAAAAAAAACTTGGGAGTTTTTAAAGACTGAAAAGGTGGGCACTGCTCACATACTAGATCAGTGGTTTTCAACCTTTTTTCATTTGCGGACCCCTAAAAAAATTAAAATGGAGGTGTAGACCCCTTTGGAAATTTCGAATAGATTTGTAAGTGTGGGTGTTCACATACTTTGATCGATCGTAGTCATCTTTTGCAGACCCCTTAGACATAATCTGCAGACCCTAGGGGTCTGTGAACACTGCACTAGATTCTTAGGGAAGAGTCAGTGAGATGGCGACACAACAGGATAGGATTTATCTGGAAAATTATCTAGCAGTTGCTGAGTGATGGATTCTGATTATGGCAGCACAATGCTTTTTCATGGTTTACTCATTCAGAATTGATTACACTGGTCTATTAATCCCTCATTTGCAAGAAAAAAACAGAAAATAAAATGCAGTGGTTCATTACACTGGCTTCAGTTATGTTCCTGAAGGTGTCCATCAGACTTCCTGCAGCCTTGGTAAAACTCCCCACTGTAATCTGTGTGATGCATCTACCAGAGGGCACTGACTTCGGTATCTAGGACATTTAACACAAACAACCCCAGGAGTGATACCCTAGGAAGTGTGTTTTATTTTTGTCTAAGCTGCATGACCCTTGGTTTTCTTCTTCATTTCTCATTTCCAAAATCAGAATCTTCTGCACTACCAAAAAAAAATTAAAAAAACAAACAAACCATGTCCCCCCCCCCCCCCCCCCCC